AATGAAGCTAATTTCAACTTATGTAATACGATATAACATAACTTGGGGCAGTTTACGCTTTATAAACCGCGAAGCGGTTTATAAAAAAGCGTAAACTGCCCCAGGTTTTGTTATATCGTATAACATAAGTTAAAATTAGCTTCATTCCTTATAATTTAATTTCAGTATAGACAAAAAGACAATTTTTCCCCCAGAATAAGGTTTCAAATTGAGCATTATTTTAAAAGTAACGTCAATCGGATTAATACGTTTTTGACGTAACTCATTGTGACGTAGGCAAGTTATGTTTTACAAAATATTATATGTTCCTTTGAATGATTCAGCCAATGAAATAGCTTGATACAAGTGAAATTAAATTATATTAGTATATCATCAACGAATAAAAAATATACAGGCATGAATATTCAACCCTACAAATTACCGGTATATAATTTCGAATTTGCATGGCCTCGATATCCTTGGGTTTAATGGAAATGGATGATGGAGAAGGTTGTTATAGAAGCCTTTCTCCTTTCCTTATTGAAATCTACCAGGCAAATCTTTGCTAAAGTATAAACCATGCTTAGTCCTTTACCAAAACTGTGAAAACCAGGTCCCTGAGTCAATGTTTTTCTGGTCTTATGGTTGTCATTGGTTATATACATATTGCAATTATATTACAAGAAGGGCATCAACAGGCAACTTTTAATATAATCTTAATAAACACTTAGCCCTCTAAAAAATATAGCCTCCTGTTCAGACGTAGTGTAGGACTTAACTAAATTAAATAAAACTGATTTACACATTGTAAAATTTTCTTTCTTGATGTACATGTAAAAGACAAATGTTGCACATGTAGTTTCCTTAACAAAAGCTGTAAAATTTATGGCTTGTGGTCACTATACTTAGACCCAATTGGAATCTGGGCAAGTTTTAATCAAAATGAGTACTTAATTCCTTTCTTAAGATTTTAAAACCTATGTCATTTGTATACAGAGCCATGCTTCAAGGTTGGTCTAAATTGGTCATGCATTGAAATTTATTATACTCTGTGCCTGGATTTCTTAGAGGAACGCTGCATCAAAGTAATTTTATAAGCCTTTAAAAACTAACTTTGTGAGTACAGAGGTCCAGTTCTTTTGTACTAAGTTGGCAACAGCATTAGAAACTCATGATTCTTAGGTGACCATTATCCCATGATTCATCAATTGCTACTAAAAAAACTATCACTCTGAATCTGGAAATACACTTCTTTTATTATTATTGTCATATTATTAATCTAAAAATGTTAGAGTAAATAACTTTAAGTACCTTCACAGTGACCACCACCCTCCCCAATAAAGTTTTCAATTGATAAGATCACGTTTTTCATACTAATTATTAGTCCATTATTTATACACTGAATTGACGACGGATTTTTCCTGAACATGACAAAGATCACACGGCTGGTGTGACCGGTCAGCAGGAGATGCTTACTCCTCCATTGTACCTGATCCCACCTCTGATGTTTCTGAGGTCCGTGTTTACTCTGCTCTTCTTTTGTATTGTTTTATGGACTTTGAGATTGAATACTGTTCGTTTTCTCCATTCCTTCATGTAGAACACTCTAATATTTATAAATTTACATCAAATGGAAATAGAACCAAAAATTACTGTTAATAGTTTCTTCATTTTCGTCTCAAGAAACAAAAGGATTTCATGGGGAGATAGATCTCAGCGAGCCGATTCCAACGATATGCATAACTCATTTTTGACCATTTTGGCACATAGACCTTATAACTTTTAGGCGACGAGTGACTTCTTTATTTCTTGCAACGTACAATACATTTATAATGACAATAAAACATGTTAAAGTAATTCTTTATGTATTTTAATACACCCCATACTCAAAGAACAGAAATAAAAAAAATATTGTTTTTTTTTAAATGTGAGAAACTTTTAATTTGTGTACTGTATCATAGATAACATTTCCAGTAAAGCTTTTCATACTATTTAAACACTTCATAGGGCATCACTATGATCCTAACAGTTGCTTTTACAATATTGTAAGAGGAAAAAAATTAGCTGAGATCTCTCCTGTTTTAAAATGGAAGTCAATATCGTAGTGTGTTTAGTTATGTTTTTCCATATATTTAATTGTTTTTTAGTTCAAAGTAATTGTTTTAAAATTTCATTTAATGTAAATCACTCGTCAGCATTTGGGATAAGTTCACGCAGAACCTCTTACTTCAAAACTATCTATCAAAATTCAATTTTTTAAACATATAAAAATTATAATATCAACAATGTTAATGTTTTAACATTCAACAAAAAAACTGCTCAAAAAGTTACAAAGAAGCAAGATTTGTGAGGGACTATTTTTTGTTATGGAAGGATATTTAGCAGATTATTCTGCAAACCTGTGCATTTAATATATTCAATATCTTGGACTTTTAGCCTCAAATACTTTTACTTGGAGACTATTTTCCATTTTGATATTGCTATAAATATTTTATATAGGTCTTAATTTATATTTTTAGAACAAATTTTACACCTTCCTTCGACAAACTTTGACAAAAAATGAAGATATATCAAATAAGTCCATTAAAAATTAATACCATTTTTTTCCTTGAAAATAACATATTGTAAAAGCACAAAAATTCGTGGGGGATTAAATTTCGTGTATTTTGTTGTAAACAATATTCAACGAAAATACATCCAACACGAAATTAAATATCACTATATTGAATAGGGTTACTTTAAAACAACGAAATTAAATGCCGACGAAACTATTTTTATGCCTGGGCGAAAATTTGTGCTTCTACAGTATTTTGACCAATATTTCAAAATTTACATCACTGACCCCAATTTTTTCTTTCATTATTTTAAAGTACTCGATTTTTGTGACTGATCAGGACTTAGGTTGTAAAAAGCTTGATATAAGAAAATGTTGTATTGCCTATTTAGTTTTTTAATACCCCAAATATGTTCCTTTTTAGTGCAAAAAGGTCACACAATTTACGCGCATCATTTTGCAAGATTTTTTCAATGATAGATATTATTTCAAATGTTTTACGTAAAATAAGATGATATTTTTTGCCATACGTACATCTGCTAAAATATAATAAAGGTTTAAGTAATTAACCAAAGAGCTAAAATTTAAGTGCAAAAAGGTCAAATTCATTGTACCGTAGATCAGTAAGATGAACACTGACACCCTATTTTCTCTTCGATTTTGAGTCACTCTATATGAGTACTTATTTAAAATATACTTCTCAATAAATCCTTGATTTAGCAAATTTCACGAGTGACTTACCTTAAACTTTTTTGAGAGAGAAAGAAAACAGAAAGATTCATACACCACATTTCCAACAAAATATCACTCCTGCTAAATTTTATAGAAAGATTAATATTTTCAATCCTCATGTAATAGAAGAAATGAAAATATTATATCTCCTTACTTCTAAATGCATAAGACATTTCAGCAAAGTCATTTAATTTTTTTTTTGAGAAACCAAACAAGAATTGCTCCTCATGGAAGTTAGTTTCATTTGATAAACTAGTCCTTTTTTCACACAAATAAATAGGGTTGAGTATCATCTCTATTACGATGCATGTACTTAAAATATTTAAAGATACATTGATATATTCTATATTCTTATACGTGGTTAACATAATTACTCGACATATAAAATATTACACATATGAATGCATGAGAGGGCTGGGTGGCACATGTAGTAACTTTTTTTTTCGGACTACATTGATCCCCTTAACAAGAAGATATCCATGCAAAATAAAATACAAAAATGATCAAATATCAAAACTAAGTGTATGAAATTGTACTTTGCTATACTTGACAGCTTAATACATGTACATGTATATCATATGTTTGAAAATTAAGTTATATCTAATGGTTAATTGGTTGACCACCAGCCTCCCTAATCAAACAAAGCAAAATAGCTTAACAGGATTTACAGGATGAACCTACATAATTCATTTAACTGATTGATCACTAAAATGTTTTGAAAAAGACTTGATTGGAAGGGGCCTGCCCGTCAGTCACCTTACAGTAGATTTTCAGCTGACTGAATTGCCGAGTTTTATCCAGTAATTGTCATCATAAGCCGATGAATACAGAATAAATTCAATACATATCAATTTGTCTATCAATACAGATTAAGATAGACCACAAACATAAAACAAAACAAAAATAAAAAAGAGAAAGTAGAGCTTGCTTTATAAATTTGAAAATTTACATTTGATAAGCATGTCCTTTTTGTCTAAACATCAAGAAGACATGGCTCTGCTATCAACTCCCTGAAATATCAACCATAAAAATATAATTAAAAACATATAAATATATCAGTTTTTACAGTTATCTATTCCTATTTCTTTCATTGATTTGTGACATGGGTAAATTAAAACAATAATTTCCCTTTCATTCTCTCATTATATTTCCAGTATGCATTAAAAATATATAGCAGTCGACCCGGTGCTACTTTTATTATAAACTGTTTAAAGTACATACCATGTACCAATAATGCAGCAGGTCATCACGAACAATCTGATGCTTTCCATGATCAACCTTTCTAAAATTTGGGCAAATTCGTTCATTTGTTTTCAGCTCGGCGACCGATCTCTCTGATAAGAAGCATTGCTCGTTTTCTTCAGTGATATTTATGTCTTTACACGTGTATCCAACTTCATAGAGAACTTGGTGATGGAAAGTGGTAGTAAGCTCCCCAAGCATTTGTTCTATTTGAATTCTGATCTGTTTCGTATCTCCATTTTCCAGGTTGATATTATCATCTGGAGTAAACGCTTGCAATTGAATTGATGTCTTATTAACTGCGATTGCAATATTAATGTCATCTCCTTTTTCCTTGTAAAAAGCAACATTTTTGCAGAGTAAGTCTTCACTTAACAATTCCCATCTGGAAAAGCATACTGCAACAAGTCTAAAGAAAAAGAAATGTGGAATAAATGTTTTAAAAGAAAACACCAATATCGGAGTTTTATATCCATTGTTGTATTTGTATAAGTCAAAGCCTTTTGTCGTGAAGTCAGTCTTGTTGATACTTGGGATGTAGTACAGGGATTCTTGTCTATTTCCAAATAATTCTGCACCTTTCCCCTCAACTTCTTGAGTTTTTATTTTGGCAAGAATACCAAGTTTTCCCATGTATGGTATAATATGATCCTTTTGAGGAATATATGATTCCGTTTTGTTTTCCCTCCATACCCTGACTAGTGTTGAATCTGAAATCATCCCATTCTTCATGAAAATGTCCCACTCTTTAACCCTGCTACACGCTGAGCGTGCGTGAGTAGGGTCAGTTATGATATTTTTAAAAGCGTCTACAAACCAACCAACGTCTAATATTATGTTGTGTTTCAAACCCTCTTCCAAGAAATATATAATCTGGCCCACCTCTGAAAAGTATCTGAGCATATCATCCAACTCATTTTCTTTTAGGATTTTAAATTCTTTCTCAAATCGTAGGCTATATCTGCTGATAATTCTATTTGCTTTGTGTTCTTGTACAAATCGCTCAAACATGTACCATATGTTTGGAATTTTTTCACCCCAATGTGGAAGACTTTTTGCTGTACTAACAATACAATTTCTGACTTGTTCTATTGCTTCTTCCTGGTGTCCATTCAATGCGCCAAATGGACATTCAATCTCGTAGTAACGTGCGGGTGAAATATGATCATTCACTGTATGTTCACTAGGCAAGCATCTCTCTAGCGCATCATAGAATGAAGTTTGACTGGACGTGGTTTCCTTCCGCTGCTGTAGAAGTCAATGATCATGAAATTAATAACAATAAACGTAAAACATGCCATATATTATTAAATGAAGCTAAGTCAGGTAGATGATCAAAATACATGAAGAATGTTGAGAGAACGACATACACTTAGAATAGTATTTTGGCCTAGGAAAATTAAGAAAAATGAAGAAGCAGGAAACCTGTCTTTACCCTTTGAAGCTATTTTGAGACAACCCCCTTTCTTAAAACATGCATGGAAAATGGCGCCAAAACGTCACATATCAAAATTATAAATTCCAAACTTTACCCGGATTTCACTTTCTGGCGAAAAAATGTGAATTTTTATGCACATATGTAAATATTTTGATATGAGCACAGGCAACGCGATAGATGATATTTGTATATGTCAGAGCAATTGCTATGACTAGCCGAAAAAAACCTATTTCGTCAATTGCGTTTTGTGTGCTCATACTTAAATTTAAACTCTTTGCTTTCCGGAATATTCCCATGACCTACATTTTTAAGTAAAATCACGAAAATATGTAACAAAGATACCTGCAACGTTGTCAGAAGTACATATGTAACGATAATTTAAATTCTAATAATATATACTCACCGTCAATGAAAATGCAACACTCTAATTTTAGGGTGAAAAGTATATATGGGTTATAGGTATGTACCAAAAAAGTTAAGACATCTTTTACTTTGCCAAATCAGTTTCTTTCCTCTACCGGAGTTTCTTTCCTCTACCGGAAGTTGCTTTTTAGCTCTCTTAACAGAAATAAAATTTTTGCATTTTTAATAAAATAGTTAACAATATTTCTATAATTTTGTTTTTCAAGGTTTTGTAGCTTTTTATCATAAATATTGTACTAAAATTCAAGGAAAAAATCCTTCTTTCTTTACCGGATGTGACCTATATTTCCTCAAAATGCCCGATTTTCATTGCTAATGCTGGAAATTCTCAAAGTAAAAAAAAAAGAGCTGCAGATGCAATTTAACGACTCATCAGGCTCATGTGATTTAATAGCATACATAACAGTTTCTTGACCGGATGTCGAAGAGTTACTACACTACGCCAAGTTAGAGAAAATTCGACCGCAGTATCTGAACAACAGGCAATTAAAAATGCCCAAGAAAATTTATTCCGCTCATATAAAGACATTGATAAACCTAATGCATGGTAGAAATCGGACTGCGTACATGTATGTTGTACATGGCGGACTAGCATGTTTTGATTAAATGGTCGGAAGGGGGGTGTTTTATTTAAACGTTATCTGTTAAGAGGGCTAAAAAATCAACTTTCGGTAATGGAATAAAAACCACTCAACCATTAAATAACTTAAATAACTGATTTGGCAATGTAAAAGATGTCCTAACTTGTTTGGTACATAGTTATATCCCGTATATAATTTTTCACCCTAAAAGTAGAGTGTTGCGTTTTCATTGACGGTGAGTTTATTTTAAAATGATATTTATAATCATTATAATTCGAATTCTTTAATTTCGTTCGGCGGTTTCTGATCAAAAAGTTCAAGCGTACCAGACGACAAGTTGAAGTTCGACAAATGAAATGTTAAAATGTGACAGGTGGTGAATGGAGACTATAAACATGATGTGATTGGGTGTCGGTAGACTCAGCGCAACTGATATCAATATGTGATTGATGAGGTAAGGATCGTCTTGAAAACCGTAGGCTACTATCGATACAGTGTTATATGCATTCTAGTCCGAGATTCCTAGGACTTTACCCCTCCTTTACCTGTTTTTTTGGTATGTGCGGGGTTTCATTAGGCTGAAAGAAAACAAATTAAAAAAAAAATATGTGAATTTTCATTGCATCAACTCTGGCAGTAAAATATCTAAACGCGTGAAACGTGTGCGATACTTGTATAGATCTAAATTTATGTCAGATGTCGATTTGTAATATGCCCTCGCGAATCAGTTCTCGGAAATAAAATTATTCGAAACTATACATAAAAGTAGTTATTGTCAAATATCATTCAAGTCTGTGAGATTTATTTTGCCTCGATAAGAAGAATTGATAGGAGAGGGGTGGGGTGGGGGGTTCGGGGTTTGGGTGTCGTATTTACTACTGTATAAAGATTATGTCCCCTTCACATAAAAAAAAATTCGGAACCAACGAGTTTATCACTGTATTTGTCAATATTGTTGAAATAGTGATGTATATTTTTGTTTAACCTGTATAAGAATTCTTTGACAACTCATAATTCTGCAAAGTTAAACTATCACCAGCCAGGTAGGTACAAACATACTCAATATTATACATATGTGGCATGTTCCTGCTAGGTATGAGGGGAACTGCCCAACCACATATGCATTAACCATAATAAGACTGCCAACTTTGATCAGAGTTGTTAATTGTATAAGTAAACTTAACTGAGGCATTAGTAATTTCATTAACTTAGTAATTTTTCATTCTTGGATGTCATGGATGGTAAAATAATAAACTGAGTAGAGTACATGTCTGTTCTCCCATCAAATATGTGCTAATCCTCTCTCTCTCTCTCTCTCACCCTCTCTCTCTCTCTCTCTCTGCAAGATACAAAGTTCAAATACATCATGAGGGAGTTAGCAAGATTCCAGATCTCCAAGAGCAGGACTACTAGTATTTCTGGAGATGCATCAATTAAGGGAAATAGTCCTGGTTACAGAGAACTTGGATCTTCATATTTCCTGGATATACTTTTAAACTGTTTTTATTTTATTATTTCGATTCCAAACTAAAAATAAATACCTGGTATCTAGAGCATAAGGTATATCGCTGGGATTAGCTTCCAAAGCAGGGATTAGCTTATTTGACTTAAGCATCTGGATAAGTTCATTCACTGTGATATGTAGATAATTTTTCACATTTAACAACTTTATTTTTGTTCAGGCAGTGAAAAATCAGTAGAGTTATTGATAAAGAATGTTAGATTGTTATTGTACCAGATAATTTGAGATAAATGTTTTAGTTCACCTGAACTTGAGAATGGGGTGAGATTTTTTGGTCATTTGGGGTTTTTGGTCAGCATGTCTGTGTTTACCCTCTGTTAATTTTTCACATTTTTGTCGGGCTCCACTTTTGAGCCCTTTTTTATAACTGGACAATTAATTAAATCCATTTTCTTTTCTTAGAGAAATCATGTTCCTGTGTTTCCATGAAATGATGATGATGAAAATTTAGCAAACACAGGTATGATAAAAAAAAATTCATACGATAATCTGATTATTAACTAGTCATTAACTATTTTAAATATTATATCATTAATAAAGTGGTTGACTGAAAATTTTCTAAATAAAGATCTTTCATTAGCAGATATAATGTTAGTATGTCATGTAACATTTTCATACTTGTACAACATGTACAATGTTCACTGCTTGTAATTATTAATGACCTTATAAATGAATATATATATATGACTGCCGTCACGAAAAGGGCCCTTAGAGTCAAATTTTCATAGATTGACTTTTTGGTAAATTTTGATAGCCGGACTCTTTCTGAATGCAAATATGCATAAATTTTGAAAATATCTCGCTTTTTCAGTATTTCATGCGCATTTTAGTGAAGTAAATCGAAAAAACTTTGACGTTACTCACTGAAAACGTAATGACGTCGACTGCGTCTAATACAGTTTCCAAAAATTGTATTAAAATAACGCTCTTTGAGTTCCGGTCACGTGATGGTCTGTTACTGACGAAAAATTTTGGGCTCCGCTGTTTATTTCCTAAACCTTGTTTCTATATGGTTTTAAGTGTGTTTAATTCTGTGGAAAGGAGTTTATTATTCAATATTGGTGAGTTTTGCATTAACTTTTGGCTTAGTGTAGCGTTAGAAGTGTGCTGTTTAAATCTAAGACATTCTTCATCATGTTCATTGTCTTCATTGTGAACACGTATTCACTCACGCATTCACTCACGATGTCTTCGGATAAAGCGGGATCTAACAAAAAACACCAGACAAAGAACAAATAAAACCAAAAAAAAATTGTGCAGCTAGATTTAAAAGCTGCACCTATGTCTATAAGAAAATCCGTTGTTTCTGAGAAAGCTGCAGTGAAAAAACCAAGAACAAGTAGCGTCGATCACTCCCTCAATCAAGACGATTGTCAATCAGAACATCACGATATTACTTACGATCTTAAACAAATTCAGGAAAGTCTCACTGAGATCAGAGAATCTATGGTTAAGAAATCGGATGTAAAACTTATACTTTCAGAAATTTTGCTCGAAATGAAAAATGAACTAAAAAGTGAAATAAAAAAGGAAATAATTTCAGAAATGAAAGAAGATTTCGAAAAGGGTATTAAAAACAAAGTTAAGGAAGAATTCGGGGAGAAAATACAGAGAACACATAAAGAATTCCAAACATAAACGAAAGAGATTTCGGATGGATTTAATCTTGATTTTGACACTCTTAGAGAAAAACTAAGTGTACAGGCAAGGGAATTGAGGGACTTGAAGAAACAACTTCAGACATGTGAATCTATTAAATTGCAGGGTCTGCAATCACCCTCGCTAATCAAAACCAGCAGTATTCCCAAAAATCTAACATAAAATTTATGAATTGGGCAGAGGAGAAAAATGAAAATCTTAAACAAAGGCTATGTGCGACACTCAAGGAAGTGGTGAACGTTGACCTTGACCCCGCAGATGTCCTGGCAATCCATTGTCTTCAATGGATTCCCGGGGGAGATGGAAGAGGACCACGACCTGTGATCGCAAAATTTTGAAACACCGACATGAAGATCATGGTAATCAAAAACAGAGCTGACAAAAATCTTCAAAAGATCTTCACCATGCACGATCACCTAACACAAATGAACGCTAAACTGGTGCGCGACTTGAACAATGATCCGCGAATTTATGGTGCATGGTATTTCAATGGAAAAGTGTTTGCCCACGACGAAGAAGGAAATCGCTACAAATTTGACATTTTAGACAACGTGTCTGGAAAATTGAAAGGACATTAAATAATTACTCAAATATGCAGCGGAGTGGACTTTGCGAAAATAACCCA